TTAATTTAATTTTTATTTTTTAGAAAAACAAAATACTAAACAATCACCAATTACAACAAAACCTAAAAAAAAAGTTTGCTATAACAAGGAATCTGGTTCTAATGAATCTTATGAACAAGAACAACAGTTAAATATTGATTATAAAAAATTAACAGTTCAAAAAAATTTAAACGATGAACTTGAAAGAGAAATTAGACTTTGCCAACAACTTAAATCATTATATAATTCTGAAACTAATAACAATAATTAACAGTATTATTGGTTTCATTATTAGTTTCTTAATATATTTGCTAAAATAGTTGCTTATAATTAATTTTTTTATGTAATAATTTTATTGCAATAAAAATATTAAACTTCTTCGCTTTGCTTGCCAAAATTATTTAATTTGTACAAAAAGATAAAAATAAATAACTTAATTAATATTAAAAAAAAAATCTATTCTCTAATATTTACTTGTTATAAATAGATTACTTTAAAGTAGACTTCCCAAAGTTCAGATATTTACTGCTACAGAATCTAGTGAATATATATCCTTCCAAAAAATCATTTGATTAAGTTAGATTCTGCAGCAGTAATGCACCAGAACTTTGGGGTTTGCCCTAGTAATTGCATAAATATATGTATAGTCAACTAATAATTGTAAATTATTTGGATTTACACAAAAACTATTCACTCATAATATATGATCATATTTGATAAGTTTTATTATAAAAGAAGATCGGACAATGCACACAATATACAAGATATAACATTTCTCTAGCTTGGTGCCAACCATATGAACTCCTAAAGACAGCACATGAATGGGCAAGCAAAAATAAGGATATTGATTATATTAAAAAATCACAATTTATGGCCACAGGATATGATATGGTTATTGAGTGGATTCCATTTAAAAAATTCGAAAATCAATAGAAACTTTGATGTAAAATTTTCAGCAGTATGGATAGATGGCATACGAATAGTTTCTAAAGTTGATGGCAAACAAATCCAAATAACGGATAAAATTTCTCAACTTTGTATTGTACTGTACAATTTTTTAAAAATACAGTACCGTACACCTTTTATTTATACATCCTATATATTGTATAATAAGGAGTGTACTGTACTGTATGTACAATTAAATAAAAAGTACAGTACGTCTTTTTCTAACGTACAGTACGAAATTTCTATATTCCCAATAAACAGTAATATGCGATAATTGATTACTCACAAATGTGAAGTTAAGATGCATCATAATACATATATGATTACAGTACAAATCCGAATATCCTAATTTATGTACATTGGTTAACAAACTATCTTTATGCTCACTAACAAGATGCGCAAACATTATAGAATTTACCCCATGCTGGTGGCACAAGCATCTTGGCAGTACTGTAATACATTGCGTATCAATCGCAAATGAATACCAAGTTACAGAGCTAAAAAGGTTTATACTATATACCTGATAAGTACATTTATACTTATTTATTATTATATCTTATTTCGACTAAAATATTTAATTATACGTTAATTTAGAAAAACAAGATAATCTAATTATAATGAAACCAATAAACAAATAATAAAGTTGAAAAAATTGACAGTAAAGATTATGATGAAACGAATAAATTTAATAAAGAATTCAACAAACAAACATAAGGTAATATATATAGCCGTTTATTACTCAATTCTGACTTTTTTTTATTTCTTTATCTAACAATAAAGACGTTCACGATTTCTCTTTTAATGGTTTAAAATTTCTAATTATGAAATTAGGATTTAAGATTAAACAAACTATACAGAAACTTAAATCTCTTAATGCGCAGTAACTGTATAGTAACTATGTAATTACAATTAAATTTAATAGTAACTATGTGATTACTACGTCGTTACTATGCAGTTACTGTATATTAAGATATTTAAGTTTCTGTAAAGAATGTTTAAGTTATAAGTTATATCTTATATCTTTGAGTTTATTTTAAAATGCGAAGCTGAAGAATCGATTTTTAATTAGTGGTAATTCTAAGTGGCTAAGTTTACTATGGCTAACGATAATTCTCAGCTTTACCATAGTGAAGCTGAAGAATCGATTTTTAATTAGTGGTAATTCTAAGCGGCTAAGTTTACTATGGCTAACGATAATTCTCAGCTTTACCATATATCTGATATGAATTTGCCAAGAATTATTTTTTATAATACACTTACTTGATCACCAAAATATTTTATTCGTGATCAGCCAGGGAACCAGTGAAAAAACATAGTCCAGTAGTAAACTTTTTTTTTAGGTTTTGTTGTAATTGGTGATTGTTTAGTATTTTGTTTTTCTAAAAAATAAAAATTAAATTAA